TGAATATTTTTAATCAGTTATAGCTCCTTAGGATGAAAGGTGACCCCCAATTTTTATTACATATTCTGAAAGCACATGAGTTGTAGATACGATTTTATAGATCATAATGGCTGATCGGACATTGTGACAATTAAAAAAATTTAATTTTTATTTATGACGTTATTACTTTTTATACTCGTTTGAACGTACTCGCTTATCTTGATTGATTGTCTCCCACCTGCGAGTACCTCGCATACTGTAAAGGCAAAGTTTGTGTGGCATTACTAAACTACAGGGGGTTTTAAATTAAACTTGACAAGGTTTAAATCCATGTGCCATTACCGTCGTCAGGCACGTCGTATAAGGTATTCGTACTTGTGCGTTAAAATTTTGAAATTGTTAATATCACTTTTCAGATAATATAAAGCACGTTTCAGGTCATTTTGAATATTCCAAAACTATATTATTCCAAAATTTACGCGCCGTACGCTCATTTCCACGCCCACAGAATGTACTGAAGCTGGAAATTTCGTTTTGGGTACATGTGATGGGTTTGTGACACTGTATTAATACTACTGTGCGCACGGACGTTAAGACGTATGTGTACACATTCGTAAGCCCTTAAAATGCTCAAAATTACTCTTTTCCTTTAAAATTCCTTTTAAAATGCTCAAAATTACTCTTTAAATAGAGCATGTTTTAGCATATAATACTTTTCAATCAGAACCGTGCGTGCTTCGTGAGGGTCAAAGTACGGCGGATCACCTAACTCGTCCTCAGTGACGAGTTCAAATCTAGTTATAGATTATAAATGAAAATAACACGATATATAATACTATCATATATATACATGTTTTCTCTAATCTTCAAATATGTATGCATCATATACTATATGCTTTTGTGAAGGGGTGCAGAAATGTACAACCTATTCCTCGCTATGATCATCAACCTTGACGTGGTAGCGAGGCTTGTGTGTCTCTGTAATCAGTTGGAGGCCAGACTAATGATGATCCATTTATCAACAATCATTCATATATTTATTTTCATAATTATTTATTTAGTATAAATAAACAGTTAAACTATACAAACGACGACAAAATAATAATGGTTTCATTCTTTTTATATACTTTTTTTATATACATTTCATAATAAACAGTAAGTGAACACACTAACTGACTACATAGGTGACTGCAATGTTTACAACCTAAACTGTGAGTATGCTCTAAGTACATATAGTTCGAAAAATTTATAGAAATTGCATAGAAAAGGTTTAATAATTACCTTATACATTCTTATATACATTTTATATACAACATAAATGAATGAAAATGTATAAATTATATTTAAAATGTGTGTGGGCTGTGAACACTTTTTATTAAAGTATATTTAAATTATATAGAACAGAAATTATACATATAAATAACAAAATAATAATTTTATATTTGATTTATATATATATATTATATATATATATATATATATACAAAAAAATTAATTCACACTCTGACGAACTTCAAGTCTGAATGCAAAAGATGCTATCACTAAACTATGAGTATGCCAAATGTAAATATATGTTGAAATAATACACTGCAATGGAAAAAACATGCGTTAATTATTTCATACTATTCATATACTTTCTTATATTTTTTTATATAAAATATACACTAATACTTCAAGTGAAAGCAAAATATGCTTGCAATAATTTCCATTAAAAATATTTGTAAAGTAGAAACAGATTTGTTGACATTACACATACAAAATGATACAGAATACTTTTATATCTTTTTTATATACATTTTTATATCCAAAAAAGTTCAAAATTACATATCATATATCAACATATAGCTAAATATGTAAGGAACATTTTTTTTTATAAAGAAATAGATTTTGTTGAAATTATACATAGAATTGATATAAAAAACTTATTTTATAAGCTTTATATTTTTTATATATACTTTTCATATACAAAATGAACTCCAAAATTTGCAAATCATATATCAAAAGATAGCTAAATGTATAAGAAACATAAGTTTTTAGAAATGATTTTTCATAAATTTTACAGAAACAGTCAAAAAACACATGTGAAGAGAATAGCCTTCAAAACCAGTAATAACAAGTGATAGTACTAAATATAATACAGTTTCCTGTGGTAGTACACACTGGGAAATTTGGTATGTTAAGGGTTAACACATGCTTCTGTGTAACTTATTTTGTAGTATTTATCACTAGATACATTGCAGTGTCAACACGGCACTATAGACACTAAAAGAGTATAAATCCTAAAATTCTTAATTACAGTGTAGTATACAGGTTATTTTGGTCAGAATCACTTCAATATATATCTTGTCTGCTGAGCATGAGTTTGTTTTATTTCATTAATTTTTTTTTTTTCAGACAAGAATCTTTGGGCCCCAAAAGCAACAAAATCACCATGACAAAAGTCTGGAGGCCAAGAAATACTGTACTTGGTATGTGATTTAAAAAAAACAACGTTTAATTTTTTTAGATGCCTCAATGTTCTAATGGTGAACTGTGTATACTGCTTTAATACATCTAATGATGACATTAATTTACTGTATATTAATGTACACAGTATAACATCAGTCTACAATTTAATGGGGAAAAAACACAAAAAACCCGTTTAATTTGTTTATAACGTTATGAAGAAGAAAGCCTGCTGATATTCACAATTATGTCACAATCTGCTATATTGAAGTGATATATAACAAAATAAGCCTAGACATATGAAAGATGAAATTTAATAACGTCGATCCTAAATACCACATTCAAAATATCTGATCTTACTAAAATTTTGGTTTATATAAAATTTTTTGAAAGTTTTTTGGTCTTTTTCTTACACAATTTAGTTGTTTTGTTTAAAGTTACCTTTATCATATTCATGCTTCAATTTGATTGCTAGACACATCAGTGAAATCTACTCAAGTTTTTTTGATAAAGCTCAGGTAGGAAATTTTGATAAAATTCCAGATAATTTCGAAATTCAATAATTGTGTCTAATGTTTTCATAAATCTAAAAAATAAAAATCAGTATAATATTTACATAATTTCCTATGTATTCTGTCGACATGTTCTTTAAAACTAAATTAGAATGTGCATAAAACCCGTATAGAGATGGTGAAATAATTAATTCTATTGAAATCCATTCTATAGCAACTCTATAGGATTTTATATTATTTTATACATTTTATACAATCTATACACTTCCTTATAATTTCTATCAACTTTCTAAACAATATTTTATAGGAAATTTTTCAAAATGACATAGAAAATATATCAAAATTAAACAAGAGTTCTATAGGATTTTTCTAAAAGAAAAATAGAAATTCTAAAGAAATTATTTAAAGAAATTCTATAGAGATAATATATAATTAAATGTAGAAATTGTATAGAATTTTTTAGAACTCTTTCTATAAAAAGTATAATTTTTTTTTCTAAGGAATTCTCTGTAGAATTATATTTTTATAGAACTATCTCTATAGAGACTGGATGGGTTTTATGTTGAATTTTTTTAGCACTCTTTCTATAAAAAGTATACTATTTTATTTTTTCTAAGGAATTCTCTATAGAATTATATGTCTATAGAACTATCTCTATAGAGACTGGATGGGTCTTACATAGAGAAAAAAATCCTCTATAGAAAATTGATAGGTTTTATATAGAGAAATAATTCTTGGATCCAATGTTCTATAGAAGTCTATAAAAACTCATAAATATCTATAGACTTTCTATAGAATTCTATCAAAACATTCTACTACGGGTATGTTAATTATTA